GTTTGGTATTGCTTTCAGATTTACTTGCTTCCTCCACAAAAGGGAAAAGCAGTGACTTATTGTCCTTTATAGGCAGAGTAAAGGTTCTGGAATTGCTCCTCAAAAGCAGAGATTCAGTCATTATGAACTTCTTTTTGCCTAGAGCAGCACTTGCATTGCATTAGCCTTCCAGTCAAACGTTTACTTACAGTGCCTTGCAAAAGTATACACACCCCTTCCAAACCCCTTCCAAACACACCCCATTACTTTGAATGACAAATGATGTAAATGAACATGTAAAGGCAGAAAGAAGTGGTCACCATGGGATCTAATGGGATAAAGTACAAAGGAGAAACACAACTTTTTGGCTCTTGAGCCTCCCTCAGGTGTTTCTTCTTCATAAAGCCATAAAGGAATGTCTTTCACTGACAGACCAAAAGAAATTAACTTTAGTTCTGAACAGAGAATATTATGAGAGGACTGATACAAGTATTCAAAATCCTAAAGGCATCAACAAAGTCAACACACTAAATGTCTTCACAAAATCAGCTGTGAAACTATTGTGTATTTAAATTTGGTGAACGTCTTCATGTGAAAAGTTGTGGAACAAGCAACTAAGCCACACTGTTGCCTGGACTCTTTCAAGAAACAGCTGGATGATTAGCTACTAACTACCAAATAAATACGCTGAAAGCTCTCTTCTTGTCGTAACCTTTCTCATGTTAAGAAATAAAAAATAATTAAAAGTGTGCTGTAACTGTCTCTAAATAAATAAACAATCTTATTTTAAATGGTATCACGACGATTCCATCATCACCAATGCAGATAAAAGCTGGATCATCTTCCCTCACAATATTGAAGCAAAAATCAACACAACTATGTTCTGAAAGTGGGTCAGCAAAAAAGAAAAACTAGACATGAACTGTAAAATAAAACTAACAGAACTATAATAGAAGAATAACAGAACAGAAATGCTAATGGTGATCATTTGCATCAATTTTGACACACGTCTGAAATAATGAGGGCTGTACTTTATTAATATATAGTGACCAAAGAGATGGTGTTAAATGGATAAAATACCAAATAGCAATCTGAAAAACTGCATATTTTAAAGTTAACATGTTTTTAAACAGTAGTAGAACTACAAAGCAATAATACTGTCTTCCAACTTGAAGATTTATTCCTTACTAGGCTTGCTGTTTTTTTGTATTAGTATTCAAACCTTTTAATTCAATGCCAAGCCATTCAAAAGTATGATATATATTTTTAAGAGAACAGTATAGAATCTTGTTTAATCGAATTCACATTTCTGCTATGGTGGTAGACCACAGTTAGGGAATTTGGGTTTGGCGTAAATTCTATTGAAAGAGTAGACTTTCTCTTTTTTTCCTGTTGTAAGATATGCTGTTGTAAGTCTTACTGTTCAGTTTTATTACACCGAACAATACACTGCAGAAATCTTTAGCTGGAACCTGAATATGCAATACAGCAAAAATGGCTATGATTATGACAAAGTTATTTTATACATGTTTCACTTTAGCTCTTTCAAAACATCTGAATGCATATTTTGTTGATAATGCTGTTTAAGCTTGCATCATGGTCAAATTCTGAGAAATCTGAGAAATCAGGCATCACTCCTCTGTCCCTTCTCTTTGCTGCACATAAGTAATGAATTTTTATTCATTTTATATCACATATACTTTTCATAAGCATGACACACTGTACAGCAGTTGTGCCTAATGCACTGCATAACATTTACAATTACTTCTAAATGCCACTAGGTGGCTTTTGTAAAGGCAGGGAACACTAATCAAACAGCTGTGATATCTCTGAAGTCTGAATACCCTCGAAAAGCACAACGTGTTTACAAAAGATCAAACGAAAATAATATTGTATATAGGTGTGCTCATATATACACAGTGTTGGGAAAGTTTCTTTTAAGACATAATTTCAAAGTTTCAAGTTACTGGAACAAAAAAGCAATTAGTTATTTATTTTTGCAAGAATGTAAGTTGCTACAATTGCCTATATAATTAGTTAATTGTAATGGGGTGCCCATGTTTTGTTTTCATGTACTGCACTTTACCTAGAAATGTTTTGGTGGTAATTATACCATTATTTTACATTCCTTACTGTCATTTTACGTAATGGTATATACTTATTTGCTCAATTACTCCTGTAAAAAGTTGGTAACGATTGGTTTAAATCATATACAGCTGAAGTATACTATCCATCCATTATCAGAAAGCCTCTTATTCCTGGGGAGGGTCATCCCCAGCCTACCCTGGGATCGCAGGGACCCATGGTGAGACTATATAAGATGTCTCTGAACAAGATTGCAATGCATCACAGAGCACACACAAAACTGCAAGAACCCCAAACGAACATGATTAGAACATGCAAGCTCTACATAACAGACAACCCAGTTCAGAATTAAACTCTGGGCCCACAGGAACACTATTCCACTGGGTACCCAAAATGATATTAAAGGGGAACTGCAGTCCCAGACTGGTTATAAATGTTGGTAACAAAATAAACTAATAGATTATATCTCAAAATTTGACAATTTCTGAATGAAGCACAAAATTCTGGATGTTGTGAAAATACCGTATGGTTGCCAGGTTGTCACAAACCTTTGGTCTCATCACGGGCGAGAATTATTACATGCGACACGACCCTTCCTGCTCACTAGTCACTGTAATGACTAATATAATGCTATGTACGAGCGAAGAAGTAAAGGTTGTGCAGCAGACATTTGACAGTAGAAATGTTCCGATGTGATCTCCATGCAGAGTTAACAAGTAAATTGTCTTTGTCGGTAAAACCATCTTGAAGTTGAAAGGAATATTTCTATTGGATTAAACAGGATGTTGTTTACAATGTAATAAGGTTGCATCATGTCATCGGATGTTTTGTTGGCCCGTTCTGAATCGCAGACAATAACAGCAATATGACGTTGCACATACCTTGATACTGTGTACATTTAACTTTCCTTGTGGTTTGAAGTACACCCTTCAATGCAGTTTCTTTCTAACCCCCCCCCACCAAAATAAAAATAGCTTTGCAGTTCCCCTTTAAACAGTAAAAGCCAGTCAAGACCAGGTTCACACATACTCACACCAAGGCCAAGTTACCTACCAGAATATCTTTGGACTGTTGGGAGGACCCAGAAAAAACCCATGCAAGCATGGAAGAACATATAAACTCCATGCAGATAGCACACCAGGAATTAAATACAGGTGTTCAGCACTGCGAGACAGCAGTGCTTACCACTGTACCACCATACTGCCCAATAACTAAGTAACTTGTGCACAAAAAACATAGTTTGTTACAATTTATTGATTACTGTAATAGGTTACTGAAAACATCTTTTAACTGTTAAAACTAGTTACTGCCATAGGCTGCAAAGGAACAAACAGAAGTTAATTCTGTGCTAAAAAGTAGAAAGGAAAATGTTTTGATACAGATGTCTTGACATTTTGAAAGTCTAATTAACCAATTTGGTTCTCAATAAAAGATCGAGATGCCCCACTATACATCAAACTTCAAAAGAGCAATGAGACTTTTAGTTCGGTGACTCTGAATTATAGTAACAGTAAGAGATAATATCAGCTATGAAATGAAAGCCTTGGTTATTTATCTCAGTAACTTAATGGTTACCTATGACCATTAGGCGTCATATTAAGCCATAGCTTGCTGTTGGAAATTGACTACATTTAGGTTTTCTTCAATGACACCAGAGAAGCTAAAGCATGGACATGTTCTGACATAACTGTAGCTGTGCCTGACAGTTGATGAACTTTCAATATTTTATTGTTCATTCCCATTCCTTATCTATGGGCCCTGATTTGGAAACATGCTAATTTAATTCTTTGAGTGATCTAAAATTGGGATACAGTAAAATAAGTTATCAGAGTAATTTATGTTCTGTACATTTTAGTGACCATGTTGGCTTTGTTTGTTGTCTAAGAGCTTACACAATATCCATATTGTCTTAGAAATGCTTCTGGGACATACATATCATCCATTATCCGTATTCATCAGTGTCCCGTTTGGTTATTGCTGCTTATTGTACTGTTTTATTGTGAAGTTTCAGATTCTAATAGATTCTTCTTTCTTTTGCAGTCTTTTTAACAATTTGTCTTTATGCTGTTATAGGTTTGTCACTAGGCTTCCTATTTGCTTCTTATTCTCAATAGCTGTGCCATACTGAATACTGTGCATTTGTTGTCTTTCTGTGTATCTTTTACATTAAACCTTCTATCATTATCTTTAGTTTTGCCCATTTTGTACAGTATTGTATCTTGTTCAGAAAATCAAAGGAGATTTACACAAGCATTTGTCATAAAACATTGACAAAAATATCACATGCCAATAGTTACTTTCGTTTTTAAATGGTTAAACCTTCTTTTAAGCTCATCAAAAATGCATTACATTGACCCTTTTAACCTGCGTTATGTCTTTTGCAGTTTCAGATGGAGTGTGAAGACTAATGTCTTCGAATGACCATTGAAAGAAACACTTCAATTGAGCCAGTGTCCCTTCATCTGTAAATCACTGAAATGAGAAATGTAGCTCCAGACTGTTGGTTAAATAAGCTTAAGTGTTTTCATAAAACCAACTGAAAAATGTCACATGGGACTTAAGTTTTGTACAAGTTCTGAATTATGTCTGTTCGTGTTCATTTTCTTTAAATCGATCAATAGTACAGAATATGTTGGGGGATGGCTAGTTAATACTTGGAAGGTACTACAGGGTAATAAACTCTTCTCCTAAAGTATAAAGGTGATGCTTTAATCTCTGCGTTACTTCAGACAACATATTCTTAGTACCTTCAGTGGGGACATTTATGTGATATCATTCACTAGCTCAAATGGATTACTAGGTTGTGCCGTACTTTGTTAAGTATACAGCTTTATCATATGAATCTGTGTGGTTAAAAAGACTAAGAAAAACATCTCTGAAACAAAATATTGTTTTGTTAACATTGCTATACATTTATATATTAAAGAAGTGCTCACCTTTGTCCCGCTCTGGACCAGTTTGTGGATATTCAAGAAAGGCTCTTTGATGAGCTCCATGTCATGGGTAAGAATTCGCACAAAGCCTTCTTTTTCCAGGATGAAGAGGCGCTGTGACCCGTCCCCACAGTTCACGATCCCCACAGGCTGCCTCAGTCCCCTCAAGATCTCCTGAGCGCAGTAGCAATTGTGCTTGTATTTTCTAAACACAGCAAATGAGCATAACGTTAGAAACAGTTACCCTCTTTGTGGTGTCTGCGAACATTTGCTGTAGGTCTTCTAATTCATACGCCTTCAATTAGATATTTAATGTCTTCTTCATTTGGAATGCTGTGTGGAGGCACAATAAAGTGGACATTTGTAAAGAAAGCTGCTTGGATGCAATAGCAGAAACCATTTGGCAGTCTAATGTCTGTTTATCATTATGTATTACAAATTCAATACTTTTTTCAGGTAATGTAACAATGAGTGGTCGGTAACCTCTTATTATTTTAATTATATACAGTAGCAATAGTATAGTCATTGACAAAAGATTACCCAACATCCTTTCTTTGCAATACAGGTATTTAGTCCCTAAAATCATACCCCTGTATAAAGTCTTATTTGCAGTTAAGACACCTGTCCTTAATTTCTAAATTTCTTCTTAGAACCTCTCCATTTATTCTGTACACTTCTGCTCTGGATCTCCATTCCTTTGGAGGCTGTTTCTCATCTGCTCTGCTCTTCTTTACTTTATATTTCTTTGCACATTTTCTGTTCCCTCCCCCCACTCCTGAAGATGACTGAAAAGCCAAAATGATGTTTTTGTCTTTCTGATTTTCAGTGTTTAAATCAGCTTCTGCTTGTTCCTTAGTTATCTCATTACTTAAATTTAAAACTGTGGTTATAAAATATAGCCACACTGCTTATTTGGTGTGGTAAGGCGTGAGGAGTTTAAGCTGTGAAACAAGTATTCCAGGAACCACAGTAGATACAGTATATAACGGGTGAACCACAACCCACAGCTCATGCTTCTGCCATGTCATTAATACCAGGCATCAATGGGACATTAGGCAGTAGCAGAGGTTTTATGGTCCTCAAAAGTCACTAGAACTCATCACTGTCCTGCAGAAAGTGAAACAGATTGCTAATACTGTAATTGATTCACCTGAGTTCGCATTGTAATCTGTTCTTTTTATTTACATCTTCCATCTTGTTAGAAAACATTTTTATCTGAAAACATACTTCTTTGGTGGTTTAATGCACATTTCCAACAGATTTTTACAGTGGAAAATTTACTACACTGCCACAAAACAATTTGCTTAACGACTTTAAATAGTCACAACATCCAGCCATTTGTTTATACACAACCCATCCTTTGTTTGAAGGTAAAACAGAACAAGTGCTGTCAGAAGGGCTGTGGCTTTCATTTTTGAAATCCTTCTATGTCCTTGAACCAAATGTTAAACTCATTCTGTTCTTTTTTGACTCAAAAGACTAAGCTTAAGGTTTTCCCAAACTGAAGTTGGATTAAAACAATTAAATTTAATAAACAATGTTAATAAATTAAAACATAATTCTGATCATCATAATTATAGATAATGTGGGCAAAATTGCTAGGATCCTTCCATTACAATTTGAAACAATATATTAAATGTTTTTTTATAAAACAATCAAGCTTTGGTTTTGCTTTTAGCAAAATACAATTTGCTAATGAGAGATAATCAAATAAGTAACTGGAAACAGATTTTATTTATAGTTAGCTTTCTGGCTAAGCTGAATTGAAATGTATTCAAAGTAACTCTCAAAGCAGATGTGCTGTTTCTCTAACCGTTCAAAAGAATTAAACTTTTGAAGTGGGAGGTCTGATTAAGACTTATTGTGTATCTTCATTATCTAACAACAGCAGTGTATACAACGCTTTTATACACACAGGAATTTTTGTTCATCATTATTTTTCTTTATGTGTCCCATTAAGGAGATCCCTGCTTGGAGATACAGGGCTTAAAGGGAACAGCCAAAGATTCCCTCTAGATCAATGTCTACCAAAAGCTTTATATCAGCACCCAGCTACCTAACCACTCAGTAAGATCTGTGTAATTACTCCACTTTTTTCTTTTGAGCAAGAAGCCAATAGCTAACTCCATCAACAAGGAACGCAGTCTCCCACTGTTTGCTATTGAGATAGGAAAGTTGTCACATATCCAGTTCCGAATCTCAGCTGGCTTGCAGAGCAAGAATTTCAGCCCAGAATTGCTCATCGCTTAGGTCAAAGAATTAGTGTACTAGTATGGGGTATCAAGCTTCAGAATGAGCACTTTCACCATGTACTTAGACCTACAAAGTCACAAAGATTCAGTAATTCATTTTGGAAAACGAGCACAAGTGCAATTTGGAGATTACTGTAAGTCAGGAGAAAAGTTACATAAGTTCTGTGGTAATTGCAAATCTCAGGACATTGGCTTTGGTAATTTCAATTTCATCAGTTTAAGGAATATACATGAGTGCAATCCCTTGTCAGTTTAACACCTGGACATATCAGAAAATAATACCAACTGTGCCATGAAGCAATTTCACTTATGACTGCAGCAGGGAGGACTGGTGGCTTGGCAATTAGTGCTGCTTCTCCATAACCCTTGGGTCCGTGGTCCTTACGCTCATCTGGGCTTTCTCTGGGTCCTATGCTTTCCTTCCCACTTCCCAAAGACATACTGGATAGCCTATCTTCAGCTGCTCTTTCTCCGTGGCCCTGTCATGGATGGGTGTCCTATCCAATGTGAGCAAGTCACGCCAGTTCAATTCTCGCAATTTCTAACTTTATGAAGTTCAAGCCTCAACAACAAAAAGCAAAGGATGTTTTTTGAGGTTAAATTGCCAACATACAGTAAGTGGTAAAATGCAGGCTTAACAGGAAAACAAAAGGCCACTGAAGCTATCTGTGAAAGTCATATTAACTTTATAGCCTGTCTTTTCTCACAGAGAAACATTCTAAGTTATTATTATTGTCTTCAAAACATTAGAACAGTTATTTTTCTGTTCTGTGGATATGAACTATAAATCATATTATAAGTCATGAAAAATATTTCTTATATAGGTCTTAAGACTTATTTATTTCCTATAAGACGGTGAGCCTAGTTTTTGAGAGTGTTTCTTCCTTACTTTGGAAAGCTCCATTTAATTAGGGTAAGGAAACAGACAGAAGTCTTATTAGTTCCCTTTGATGTAAGTGCCACTGCAGATCCTGTGGTACTGCTGAGCTATTGAGTCCTGGATGATGGGGCGCAATGGGAGTGATCTCCACCTGATTTTAATGGACTTCTGCTCAGCAGGGGTCTCTGTCACAATGGAGATAAACAAACACTGCGGATTCTCCCTCTCCAAACAACAGGAGCTTCATAAATAAAATCTATTTATTATAGAGGTCTCGGCGCTGCTTGACTTACATCTCCTTTAACAACCACAACATTTTAAAAAAAATGCATTTATGTATAAACCTGTCAATATCTTCTACTTTTTCGTAGTCTTCCATCTGGTCTAAATAGTTGGAGGCTGGTCCCCGCACTTGTTTTCTGGGAAAATCAGGAAAACACAAACTGCTTTCTCTTCTTCCATAGTACTGGCAAAACTCATCCACATCAGCTTGGAACAGTTCTAAAAAGAAAACAGAAAAAAAATGCTTACAGTCAGTAGGACCTTAAAAAAATCAATGTACTGTTGTATAGGGTGTGCTATATTTTAATTGCAGCAATGCTGTGTGGAAATTGAAAGATTGATATTCAAATATCCTTAATCAATAGAAAGACTTTTACACTTGCTTTGTTTTCAACAGAAATCTCTAATGGTAACACTACAGTTAATTTAACAGTAAATGTACTGGCAGTTTCAACCATATTTACTGTCACCAAAAACACTTAATTTAGACTTGAAAGTACTGGTCTCTGCAACAACAAATTCACAGTTTATTTTGTTACGATTTTTTAAAAACTTAAACTTAAATTTAAATATGTTACTGGACAGCACTGTAAAGCTAACAAATTTTATTGCATAAAATAATTATTTGTTTCTTGAGACGAATAAATATAACTAAATTTGTAACAGCTTAAAAGCCAAAATATTTAAATTATACAGAACTATGGTAACTCAGACAACATTTACTGAGAAGCCGTGTGTGATAAATACACCCTCAAATATAATATGGGAGACTTAAAATAATTTTTAAAATCTTTCAAAATATTCCCTTATGGACTGAAGGCACAACTATATGATCTTTATATGAAGTTTAAGAAGACCATGTGAACTAAAAACAACCTAAAAAACATCAATTCCCCTGTCTAAACAGGGGAAGAGGAGCACAAATATACCAGCGATAAAAACACACAGTCTCTTCTGTGATCAAGGATTTCTGAAACTTCACACTGAAAATGAGGCTGACTTGATAAAACTTAGATTATAACATTGGAAACAGAGCTAAATGTGACACAATGATCTAAACCTGAAAAGCCTTATTTAGCTATCTGTGGAAGGGTTCTAGTCAACCCATGACTGGTCACTCCAGAGACACTCACAGTTCGCAGGTATACCTACAGATTCATTCTGTAGAGGACACCTGAGCAATATGAACTAGAGTAGGTGACTGTCTCCCTTCTTTTTTGTCCTGTTTGGTCTCGAAGCACTGTGAGTCGTGTTTTTATTTTCATGTTGATAAGTACTTCATTAAATATAGCTATCACCTACTGTATACATCTTCTCAACTAATCACAACACTACGGAAGACAGAACTTTCTTAATAACTTCACTTTCTACCATTTGTATATGTAAAAGCAAGGTTAGCAGCTACGGCCAGCTATTTCATCAGCACGACATAGCTAACTTTGACCAGCAACATGGATGTATATATGCTTGGCAGGATCACCCCTCCAAATTAGGGTATTTTAAGAGCATACTGTCATTATATGGTTGAGACAGTTCCATCACCCATAGCATTGCAATTAGTTGAGTACAAATTAGTATTCATACCTATTCCTCATACCAATTCACTGCTTGCTCTTAACCTGGGAGGGTTTTCCTTCTGATATACAGTATCTATCTGCACTTTTTCGATGCTGTATTTGTAATACAATCCGAGTCCCTAAATCCAATGCTTTTATTTGCTTTACAGAAGTTTCTCTGGCAGCCACTTCATTCAAACTATGAAGCTAAAACTCAAAGTTTTCCTAAGAAGGCAGTGCATATGGATATTTTAAACTTGTTAACTCCTTGGTTGTTTTATTCACTACACGTCACTGATAAAAAGTAAGGGCTGTGCAAGCTGTGCCATTCATTCCATTCAATTGTATAACCCAATGCATTTCCATTAAACACTGGAATGGAATAATAATTAATAATCTGGTTAATACAACATCCTAAGACAACTCGAACGGCAGGAATGTATGAAGTTACATATTTTGTCTTATTTATCAGTCCTCTGTCTTATGTCCCAATAATTTTCCTTATTCTCCGCAAATATATGGTATATTCATGGTATGTGTACAAAAATAAAAAATATCTGGAATACAAAAGGACAAAGATAATTTGGAAATCTTGCATTTCGATATGTTTATAGACATAGAGCAGAAAAGGCTGGAACTGTACATTGAAGTCCATGTAAAGATCTTTCCCTTCTTTTTTAGCACTACCAACAAGCTATGTCCACATCCCAGTGCTAAAGTTATACTTCCATCTGGCTGTCTTCCAAGACAACCTGGGTGGCCACCCAAAGCACTTGACATCTTGATGCACTTCAGCAGTTTTACATATACACAAACTTTGTAGAAAAATAAATTTGTCATTCGTCACCACATATGTTGATCTGGGGAGTGAGGTTCCTCTGGCTCCAGCTCCTGTTCATTTCAGTGCTCGAGGTTTAACTCTCTCTCAGCTGCTATCGTTTTCCTTGCCTATTGTTTTCATTTCCCTTTAAGCAGCAGCTTAATAGGGACACTCATCTCTGTGCTGCCATTCGGGCGAAAGACGTTTGTAATTCTGGAATGTGTGCGTCTGGATTCATACGCCAGAAATCAATTTTTATGTTGAGGTACTTATCTCTGAAGATCTAATCTGTTATGGATACTCACTATGTACTCTTGGCAATTTAGTTCATTTAATATTTATACATTAGGGATTGTGATGAAAACCAAGAAACAGCTGGACTGCATTTTGTAACTAAAGAGAACTTGCAGTTCAATAACGCCATCATTTAATTTTCAATTTATCTGAGGTTTTGGATTAAATATACACCAATCAAATTTTAGAGATGGAGTTCGCACCAGATGTGGACAAATGCATTTGATATATTGACAGTATACTACCCCATTAAAAAAAACTTGCCTGTCGTTGATTTAATTTACGTCTCATTCAAAAAAATGAATTAATTAACAAATAAATAATCTTGGTGATTTTGCAGAACCTGTATTTGTAGGAAGTGGGGAGGCCTGCCCGCAGTTTCTTCAGTACTTTCACATGTGGTTTAAGGAGGTGTCAGTCATGTCTAGACTTCACTGGGGATTCCTACAGAGCTACAAATGGTGCAGCAAGGCTGACATCAGGCCTTCAGGCTTAGTAAGCAAGGTTAGGAATATATTGGTCATAAAACCACTAATTTACAAGGCCTGCAGCTTGTAGTGTTTAGTAGCTGTGTTGATAAAGGTAAGAAACCACAAAAGCAAAATTCCATAAATCAAGGGAAAGCTCTGCCAATTAAAACGTCTCAGAATAAATCAGTGTCAAAATGTTCTTTATGTATCGTGACAGGACATAGTCCTTTTAATCAAAAGGCAATTAAAATCAGATACAAGGCTTTGGCTCGAACTATATGATCTAGTTTAAAAATGTTTCCCTCAGTGCCTAGATATACCTTTTCGTACTTCATACAGGTTTCTAGTAACTTAGGTGATTCTTTTATATTATCTTTACAACACCAAAAACAACACAATGTACCTACATGATTCATCATGGGCTACATGGTTATCAATGGTATGCAATGCCCAAACCATTTTCTTTATACTGACATTACTCCTCGAAGATACATTCAAATCCCCCAAAAGGATCTTAAAACCACCAAGTAACAAGCTTTAGTGAGTTTTTTTAGGCTAGGCTTCTTACATTTTTGGTCACTGTCATTATGTTAGGCTTTCACTAACTTTCAGACCATAGATATTTTTTTTAACCCAAGCATAATCCGTAATGCCCAGGAAAATATATATATATATTTATATAAACCCATATACATTCTACATCCACACACTTCTCAATATTATAAAGCATCATAAAGCATGTGGACAGAATTTAAGAAAAGTTTTCCTTTTCTCTTTTAGGGGGATATCCTAAGACTTTCCCCAAAAGACACATAAGCCAGTGGGAAAAATATTTTGCTGTACAACAGATTGTTTGAGTAGTTTGACATTGTTGTATTACTTCTGCTAAAAGCAGAACTAATTAATTTAAGCAAAAGTCACTTGATTACCCTTCCTCCTCCCACAAGAACCCATATATTAGTTTAGAATGTGCAGTTTCTAGAGGACTGTAAATATACCAAACAACTAGGGACCGTTTTGTCCAAAATGAACACAAAGAAAAACAATAAAAACCGGGCGTTTTCCATATAGAAAATACTGGCACATATGAATATTTTCTTGAGCATTTCATCAGTCTGCTTGGCTTAATATGGTCCCAAAGTGAACATCAGTTGGCTGAATCATCATCATCAGAAGTACAGCTATTAGTTCCAGTTAGATGCATTATTACCTGGTATGTGACCTCTGCAGGCATAGTAGAACTCTCTGCAATAGTCTTTGCACAGCTTGGGTAGAACTAGCTCTCTGTCAGCAGATGCCTCCATGTCAGGTGAATGAAATAGAATCTGAGCATGTTGGGAGCAGCGTGCACACTTGATTTCTTCCAGCAGCTTTGCACACTCTGTGTTGTTGGTAGCAGAAAATATCTGAAAGCCACAAACCAGAAACACATAAATAAATGACTGTGAGTCCACATAAAAATCAGGAAGAGAGCTACAGCTGTGGGTAGCAATGAAGGAAGAGCAAGATGGAGACATTGTAGCAGGTATTTGTGCTTTTGAGTTTAAGAAGACTATACATTTTAAAAGAAACTTGTAAGAACAAGGATTTCCCATACAGCACATGCACAGATGGAGGTTGAACCTCTGATGCAGCTGAAGGCTGTTGCTTTGAGGAGACATAAATCATGTCTTACACAAAATGCACCTGCTAGGCTCCCTAAATGCTCATACATTCATACTGTACATACATTGGTGTGTGAGTCATTTTACAATATTTGATGCTTCAGTAAAGAGTCACACATTCAATACACATTAAAATGAAAATACAAACATATAACCCCAATAAGTAGCATTTGTTTGTTTGGTGAGGCCAAACTAATGTTTTTTAGACAGCAATGAGGCAAGGGTTGAGTTGAAATAAACTTTATATTTCTAATACATAACGCAAAATACAGTAAAAGATAAGAAGTAAGTAATATTATGAAGAGAGAGCTGCTAAACTGCATGAAAAAATCACAAAGCCTAAATACATAAAATACTAATGAAAAACAGTCACAATTTGTTTTCCAAGCTGGTTTCTAATTTCAGTTGTTTTGTAATCACAAACAGAAATGTTATTATTCACATTGTGTGAAAACACATATACTGTATGAGTGCATGTACATTGTATACATTCAAGGCATACTCTAAATGCTTATGGTTCACCACTTTTTTATGTGTATTTTTCCAACACATAAATCACAATTTAATATTTTGAGCAGTATAAATTTGAATGAGAACAAATCTTTCAATTAGAACACTATCCAAATGTTGCTGGTTTTGTGCCCATGTTACAGAACTATTGCTTAGTGTTTTTGACACAACAGTGCATCACTGTAGTACACTGGAAGGGTATGTACTACACTAGAAGATAGACACTGTATATCTCCAGTAAAATTGCCTACATGGACTAAATTCAAATCAAGGGGCTTCCAATCCTCTGTCATCTGGTGAGGTTCTCACCCTCACTTTATTATACACATGCTTTCCTTTACCAACACATGTGTCCCTGCAGACTCTAGTTCTACTCAGAGCTTGTTGGAATGTGATTATGGTCACATAGAAACTAAACAAAAGATTAAGGAGAAGAGATTCGATAAATTAACTGAAATGAAATACAATATTACTCTTTTTCAAACTCCATGCTGCTCTAGCACAGCCAGCTGTGTGAGGTCCACAGTGTAAATACCCATTTGGAGATAGATAGAGTCATCATTCTAGCTTTGGTATCAACAAACTAACAGTCTGGCAAAGTCAATTAAACCTGCTCCTGGCCAAACCTGCAACACCGCCCTTTTGCATTGGCTGGGTAGACATGGACAGCTTTTTCTCCATTCAACAATAAACAAAAACCTCGGCTGTGAAAGTCTTCAATTGAAGAAGGCCTTTTTTTGTGCACAATGGAAATAGCACCACCGCCCCCCCCCCCTCCATTTTCAAGCATAAAAAGTACAGAGCGTGCTACCTTCACTGTGCCAAGCTGTGACTTAACACTCAAAATGAAATTCATAACATTATAGTAACACGTTAGAAGCTTGACTGCTGTTAACTAATTTAAAACATCTGCAGCCAATGTTCCCCTTTCTGTCATTCTATACAAATGCAGCAGCCAAAGGGCAGTGTGCAATCAGATTTAGGCTAATGTGTACAGATGGCAGATGAAGTGAGAAGAGCCTTTGGATTGAACAGGAGTATAACAGTAAATATAAAACAGAAATAAATACTTATAGATTCCTTTAGGATCACCTGACAGAATTATATGCATCTGATGACTTTTTTTTATTAGATGATGAATTGTCAAACTGTTCCGAGACTAGCTGAAGATAATCAGAAGCTGACATCTATGCTCAAGTGAATTCTGTTAAAACTATGTTAAGGCCTTTGTAGAAGGAAACAGCTGTCAAAACCCCATACTCTATTATAGCCTCTGTTCAGTACATGTTAGGGATTTTTCAACCATCTTACATTTCTTACGAATCTATCTCACTGTCCATTAAAGAAGACATAAATCTGTCGATATGCATAGAGCTAGAAGGATATTGGCTCAGACTTTTTTGTCCCAAGAGCATGAACAGTTCTTTTGAGAAAAGATAAAACTGCCTTATGCAACTTTATTTGCATATAGAATTTAAATAGTATTCTTTTCATTCCTGTAAGCTTTTTTGTAATGTGTTAAATTGTGCTCGGAAGTCTTACTCATAATTGTAGATGGACAAGCAGGGTGAAACACAAACATAATCAATGCCATTAAACTCCTCAAATATGAAGAACAGGGCACAGATCTGTTTGGTGTGCTGCTCTGAGGTGGACTGTGCCATTACAATGCCTTAATCAAAAGACCAGTATGTAAATGGATCATTGTACATGGGCAGCTGTTAAAGATACTCCAGGATTAGTTATTTGTTTCATTGGATCTGCACAACAATAGCTTTTGTCTGTGAAATTGCCAGAGCAAACATATCAATGTACAAGGACACACTTGAAAACAATTACTTGTCACCCATTCTTTGACAGCCCTGACTGTGAGACAATCTTAGGATAAGAAATCACCAGTGGCTAGCCAATAAACATGCTTCGAGGAACTCTGGTTATTAAAAGTCATATGTCATCCATGCTTTAACATACCCCTTTAAGGAAATGAAAACAGAGAAAAATGTGAAGTTTTGTCCCGTATTGCAAATACTCCATTATTCATCTGATACAGCCTCCTGAAGATGAATCCAATCTTTCTTATTGCTTTCTGTCTAAAATGATTTTCTCTTCAACACTTTACCTCTGTTGCTTTCACAAAATATGTCTTACAATGGGAGAACTGCACTGCTGCTTCTCCCAAGCGTTAAGGAAAACACTTCTGCTGGGCTGAGAATAGACAGTTTGTGAGGGGGTTGGGGGTACAGGGGGACGGGGGGGGGGGGCGGGACAAATGCTCACTCAAAGGCATGAACACTTGGACAGAGCGAAAGACTGAGAGAGAATGATGTTCTCCAGTTTCACCCATTAGTGAACCAACTAACAAACACAATGGTGTTGTTGTTATTCTTTTACCATAAGCACAGGACTCCGTGTGTGGGCAGCAGTGTAGTGGGGAGGAGGATAAGTCGACCCCTTTTTGTCCTATTGATTTTTTCCTATTTGCATGACTTGAGCAAATTAAATGATGCAATATGGCTTTTTTGTCACAAAACAAAGTGAGAGGTACCACCCAGACACATATGTTGATTCGCTGAACCTGTTTACATGAGAATAGAATGAATTCTACCGTGAACTCAGCATAAAAATTCGATTCAAGCCTAGGCTTTTTCGCACTACGCTTGGACCAGAAAGACTGGAACAAGATTTTTTTAAAGGTTAGATTCCTCGCGGATATTTGACAGTGTTGTAAGTGTGGAAATTGCAATTTAAAGGCCCTGATGCCATGGTGAAAAGACACCTGATTGTTTATTTCGCGTGCGTTGATTTTCAATTATGTCCCGCCGCTAATGAACCCTTTCCCCCTCAGTAGATACAAACTGGCGGCAGATGCCTTGGTGGTCGCTGCGCTGCACTGTATTGATATTAGGCAGCACACGTGAATACACTTCACCTGTCTTTATCTACGACGTTTTTCCAAACTTAACACATCGTAAATACAGATGAGAACGCATATGACACAATGTTTTGTCGCCACAGCAGTAGTAACTTGTTGCGTAGTTATTTCTGAAAACCCACTTCTTGACGGTGAAGAGTGCTGTAAAAGGGGAGAGGTGCGCTGGTCTGTTATTTAGCGAAATGACGTTTGGCGCAATAAAGGTTCGTAGACTACTGTGATAAAAAAACAACCCTGCCAACCTCTCGCCCTGTTTCTGCTGTGCCTGTTTAAAGCACGGACGCGAAAGGTTAGAGAAGGATATCCATGGTAACACCGCAACGCTTTCGACACGCTCCAGTCAGGAAAGGTTCCCTACCTCTGCAACCGCGGTCCCTCTCATCGCCACTCGCACCAGACCTGCGTTTTCCGTCCCTGCTGGGAGCCTTTACAGTGCCCAGGCGGAATGACGAAGGGACACGCAGCTGTGTGCAAGCCTAGGAATAAACCCGTGGGTAGGATCCAAATACCCACGCCTGTGTTGAACCTCTGCGGGTATTAAATCAACAGGCTTGCTTCCCATTGACTCCAGGAGCGGAATACTGGAGGTGTCTTAACAGTACCGAGCCAAGCGGGAGATACATAAACAGCGATTTAAAAAAAAAGAGGCGAGACAGAGATCCGTACATACCCGGGCATCCCGCAGGTGCAGATTCTGATAGGTAGCTCTCCTGGTGTGACAGCAAGACGCGCGAGGGTACAACGTGTGACAAACCTGCGCGCTGCTGCTGCTACCGCCGCTGCTGTCTAGTGACAGTTTTCTCTCTCTTTTTTTCAGACGCCTCGGTGTGCTTCCATCCAGACATCTCCTCCTCCTTGGACTTAATTCACCTTTTTCACCAAACTTCGCATCACCACATTCCCAGACGTTAACCGCGACGGCCAGTACCAGCACAAATTTCAGATGCTTCATGCTGAAGAGCTGAACACCAAACAGGACGAAATCAAACGGAAAAAAAAAAAAATAGAGGAACAACTTAATTCGCAAGTTAAAAAAACTTCTTTTTTTTTTCGCACAATTCAATTCGTGTCTTGTGTCCAGAGGTATATAAAAATAATAATAATAATTTAGTAATATATACACATACAAGGAATTTAATTTAAATATTTTTAAAGAAAAAAATAATTCTTTAAAATAAATTAAGGCGAGCGCTGGTTATGGTGCCATGAAACAGAACAAAAACATTTGCTGATCTATAAAAAAAAAATCCAAAACAATTCAAGTGTTTTGATGTCAGTTTTAACGTTCTTGCTTGCTGTTAAGTTTAAATTCTGTGACTGCACAGTGGAGGGTGCATTAGGTAAGACAGTAGCACTAAGTCTCGACTCTCTCTGGGTCTCCAGAAATGCTCACATGTTTCTTTTTGCTCTTTTCTGCTTCTTTTTAACCAGCGCGCGAGGAGAGGAGCGAGCCCCGTGACGTATCACAAACTAGCGAGTGCGCGCTCTTTGCCCCACGGGAGCTCGCGCACACACACACACACTGGAGAGGATGGATTACCTGTCAAGAGAGCTGAACGTTTTCCTTTTATTCTGTGACAAAATGAAGTGTTGAAATTGGGTTGGAACCGACACGATCTCCCGCCTCCATCTCCGTTTTTGGCTCAGTTGACTTTGACAAGGTTTTTTTTTTTTGTGCCGCTTGCGGGAGTTAAAAAGGTTAAAGTTTAGGGTAAATATTTTATGTATGTTTATTCATTGTACATAATAGATACGATGATATGTGTGCATGAGTGTCCGTAATATGTATATATACACACACACAACGTGTGTATATGTCTGTTTGTATATGAACTTTAGAATTATTTACTTTATTGGATCGTGTACGTCTCTAGGTTTAAGTGTGAATGCATTATTTTTGTTTCCATAAGCTTTTTAGTTGTTTTCAGTCTAGCATGTTCGTATTTACGTTTAGTTCCAAACAGTCATAATTAAGCAGATTTAAATTTCAAATAATTACTCCGCTAATATTATACAAAAGACAATGCCTTACGTTTCTCGGGAAAGCTTTGTGCGTTAGTTTTTAGTGTTTATTTTTAAACACTCTATTTTCATGCCCAGAAATATAAAACACATGAATCTAGAATAATTATTTTCTAACCACACACCGCCACAAAATAATACAGAGTATAATTTAATGTTTAAAAAAATAGTTGTAGAGGTCTAAGTATAAGTTAGTTTGCATAACATTCAAGCGCATGGTCCTGTCACGAACCGCCCTACCACACATTTCTTGATATTTGCGAAATATTTGTATTTACAAAGTAACCCTTTAACCGCAAAACTGTATTTTCTCCTGAGTCAATCTGAGCTTTATTTGTTGCTGTTCTTTTCTAAAAAAACAAACAAACAAACAAACAAACAAACAAACAAACAAACAAACAAACAAACGTATTACAGCAGTTTTTGTTCAGCTAAGAAGATATGTGAAAGACTTGCGTTTCACGAAAAACGCACGCTTTCTTATGTTCAGTCGTAACAGTATCCCAGATTTCCAGAATTAAAAGATCTGACGTATTATGGGAAGTTCAATAACGACATACTGTATAAATGAGAGGCCTCTTTAATAGAATATTACATACTTTCGGTAAATTCATCTTTCTGTCACATGGAAATACAAATTAGCACATAAGAACAACCTCTCTCACTCTACAGCAAATGAAGCACGCGTTATCTACTTACCGAATCACTGTAATGGACTTTTACCTCAGTCAGTACAGTTCTCATGTTATGACGACTGCATTGTTTGAAATATTTCGGAAATTATAGAGTTCAGCATACATGCAATACATTTAAAGCACAATACAAAATAATAATAATATAACGGTACATAAAAAAGTTTCAAATTCAATGAGGCAGGTGAGGCACCGGTACTTGCCACCAAATATATTTTTCATATTCTTTAAAGAGTCAATTTAGCAAGGGAAATGCAGGTACTTATGAACTATTTTCATTTTTTTAAAACACATCCATTCATCAATAAACACTGCACTTAAAAGCTGTACTTAGTCCAGTACAGCTGGAGCCTAACCCTGCTGAAAAAGGGCTCAAGACAGGATACACCCAGGATGGGACACCAGTCCATTGCAGGGCTGTTTTCAACAAAAATAAATCAAGACATTAAAGAGCATCTAATTGAGGAATCAGATCACTTTATTGCCCATATACAATTTCTTGTATTAGGAAGTTGTCTTTTCACATACCCCAACTTGCTCTCCAGGAGACACACAGACGGGGAGAGAAGCTTGGGGTCAGAGCACAGGGCCAGTCATTTATATGGTGCCCCTGGAGCAGCTGTGGTTAAGGGCCCTGTTCAGGGGCCCAACGGAGTAGGATTCTTCTGCCAGCAGCAGGATATGAACCAGCAACCTTCCAGCCACTGGCGCAGGTTCTTAGCCACCACTCTGTACGCATAGGTAGCATATATGTCAAAATATTCACAAATATCTCTTGAGGCTTAGGGCCCTATATTCAGAACACTTATATCCCCATTGCCTCCTGTTGGGATTTAAGAACTAAAAAGCGTTTGGGATATAGGCCTCATTAGGTTCCAAATTATTTATACTTTTTAGTTTTGACATAACCTGAAAGCTATAAATATAATCTTATATTTGGGTGATCTAGTCATTTTTGGAAACGTTTGGAGGTTTATTGAAGCTCCTTGAAGTCTGCTCACTATTAAGAACTCAACTTCCATGATTCTAGTGACAGTTATAAAACAATTCAAAGGAAGAACAGCACCCCAGTTCCTGTCATAGCAAGTACTATAGAAAGGTAATGGGGTGGTTGCTACATCATTGGCAAGAGAACCCAGAAAATCTTTGCCCAAACGGAAAATCAGAAGATAAATTTGGGAGACTAATGCAGGTCCAAGGCACGCAATCTTTAATTGAATCTGCCATCATCAGGACGCAGCACCTTCAAAACGACCATCTTTCTTGAATTGCGTATTAAGACAAAATTCCATGGCATTCTAACATACGTAAATTGGTCATGTAGCTTTTTATACACTTTCACCAGTGGTGTTTGGCAGGAAATAGAAGCTCTTGTCTTGTAATGTGTTTGGATTTAGTCTGTTTTGCTGGAGGTTGGCTTGTACTCTGGTTCTGTTGCACAAATTGTAGTCCAAAACCTGTTGTCTTCTGTCAAGAAGTTCAATCGCCTTTGCATGGATTTCAGAGTGGGATATCAATCCAAAGCACACATTGAAGTCTCCAAGCAATTCAACAGGGGAGCATGAAATCAGTGTTCTTTCCTGGCTCTCACAGTATCTAGACTCCAATCTGGTTGACCACCTGGGAGAGGAACCTGATCACATTCGCATGCTGTTTAAACGGGAGGAGCTGGAGAGCTTCTGCAAGTTGGAGTGGTGAAAGAGCCCTCCCGAGACGAGCCAATACCTGTCAAAAGGCAACAGGATGTGTTTTCTCAAGGTTATCACAGCCAAATAAGGACCTGCGAAATACATATTGCTAAGGTCAAAATAAATGTGAACGTGCATTTCTAGAAGTGTGTGTTTACATATTTGACAGATATGGTATTGGCACTTACATTACTGTTTTATATTTTTAAAATATTTGTCATGGGAATGTTCAGTTATGTTTTAGAGTAAGTTTGGGGTTCATGTAGGCAGTGGAATATACTGTATAGTAATGGCAATAACAATAGAAACATTTAATTTCTGCTGCCCATTTCAGCCTTTTTGTTTGGTGACCTCTCATCAGCAGTTGTTTTCAGGCAGGCACATAACTATTGAAATTACTTTGTGCTAATATATGCATTCATGTTCTAGAAGAAACACCTATACAGATTTTGATTCCTGTGTTTGTCTCGTCATATTGTTTTCAGAAAAGCCAAAAGCATCCTGTAGTTCTCTTTCAGGTGTGGCACATTCTGTAGACTTGTCTGACAGCCGTGGTTTCATTTTGGCATTTGCATTTTATATCTGTTTGTCTCTGTATCTCTATTTATTTATAATTTTGTATGTACGATTGTTTCATATCCGTATATAGCACCCTCTGGCCTCCAAATAAGCCTAGGTTATGCATGATCTTTTACATGTATGACTATAAAGGCCCATTTGGAGTCCAGAGGGTAAGTAACAGGTAGGCTGGTAACAGGCTGATTCATATTTCTAAGAACCAAATAGGACTGAAAACCCATAGACACACTGACTACCCAGCACCTGTGACCTACAGTAATCCTCTTCCCATGGGCACCTATGCCACAGGTAGGAGGTTCATGAGAACTGCACCATACTGATTTACTGAATCTCTGCCAAATGGGTAAAATGCAGGGGCAGTTTTTCAAGGTGCACATTCTCCATTTTTAACAGTTAACAGAGTGATTAGCCTGTTCATGAGAAATCAAAAGACAATCATTTGTATGCATCTTAATACCTGACATCAAAAAGAACAATTGTTGCAACTGAACCAGTCAACCAGCTGCAAATATGGCTGAAAACTTAGATATCCATAGAACAGCACAAATGTGTACACCATTCTTCGGTGTATGCAATATCACTCCTTGATACCAAAGGCTAACAGATGTCAAACCTCCCATCTGCCTTATGGGGACACTGCTGTCTTTTAAAATACAGGTGTTTTCACAAAAAGAAGCACAAAATCCTGCCAGATACATTCCAAGAAGATCACACCACCTGTGGGCACCATTTCCACTATGTGGTGTCACACCAGAGTTGCCATGCCTATGTAAACCATCACATTCTTAAAAACACTATGTAACGGCTACAGAAAATTGTAAAAACAATTAGAACTTTAAAAAAATAGGAAAATGGGGATCTGGTTAAACTCATTAAAAATAAGCATTAAAAAAGTTCTCTATCATTCTTAACAACATCTTCCAGACTTGACAGCACAAGGTGCGTAGCTGGGTGCCAATGACTATTGTGTTTGGCAAGAATTTGGTGATGAATGCTGTTCTCAAGGTCTTTCTCAAGACCATTCATCCAGATAATGGTCATGGTACACCGGTGTTTCTGGATAGCCCTGTAACAAGAAAGCCACAGGCATTAGCTCTGGTGTTGGCCACACGCAAAGTCTTCTGGGTACTCGTTATTCCACGTTTGTTTCTTCATATTGTGCTGTTGTGGTTCTGCCCAATGTCTTGTTGAACTCTCCTCTTCTATTAGCTGGATAACAATGATGGCAAATGTGTTGGTGATGAGCACCAACAATTCTTGACACCCTTTGTACTGTAATCTGTGTAATCTCCCCAAAAACCTGAGTCCCAGTGTTGGTGCAGTTGGCAAGTCCTGCGCATACACCTTTAATTTATGAAGGGGGCTTTTGTTCAAATGCAAACGAATTGATCTCACCCCAGATAATGCAAATGTGGGTGTTCTCTTGGCTGTGGAGGTGGATTGCGGACCGTTTCTCTAAGCCTGCGAGGCCAGCTCTGTATCCTTACTTAGAGTGGAAAAAGAACATAAGAGATGACATCACACAGTGCAGGCAGTGGCCCTGGTAGCACAATCTGCAGACTCCTGGGAATTAATGTATGTTACAGTTTAGAAGTCATAAAGAATGGAATGAATGAAGCAATTTCATAAGCACCTTATGTTTGTGTATACTATATTACTGTGAATACTGTGAATAAATGCCGCTGTGTTATTTTTAAATTGCCTGAAACAGCTGTGGTATTTGTATTAATGGAAGTGGTATGAATTTCATTTAATTTCCAATGGAATTACACGATAACATCATGGGCAAAATATAATTTTTCATGGAGTTCTGTAACCGA